TGAGATATATGAGCTCAAACTTTTCGTTTTTTTTCCGTAAATCGGTCACTGGTCAGAAACACCGATAGCTATCTGGCTAATTCTTTCGCTCTTTTACTTAGATTTCATGCCTCTATATTTTCATCTATGGTAGTCAAGGATTCTATTTGGGTTTGAGAGGAAAATCCAAAAAAGTACCCCTGAAACTTTGGACCTCCGAAAAACCATGTTCCACATGTTTTTTTGAAAAACAAGCCTAATGTTCTCGAGCTAACTTTTTATGCTCTACACGATGCACATATTGAAATCGTTGCGGCTGTGTGGTCATGTAATGGTGGGCGGACCTGAATGGAAGTACCCATATTTCATTTACAAAACGGATGGCTTTGTGACATATTTTGTTTGTAATACTGTTAGAGGTTTTATTCATTTGTCCAGTGAAGTATTTCGTATATGTATTCTTTAACGTTGTCGTTATCGGTCACCAAAGGGACAAACTTTTCTTTTTTTGGTTTCCTTTTCTTCTTGCTACTGATACTGAATCGAATATATACATCAAAAAAGAATACATCAACGTTTTTTTTTTATGATATATTATAGTACATCATTTTAATTTTTTTCTCCTTTTCTTTTCTTTTGTAAGGCGCCGCTAATTCAAAAGTACAGCACATTTGTATTTTGGATTCTTTTTATACATCATTCGATAGAGAATTTCACACTGATCAGGAATATTACCTTTACCCTTCCCAGTTCACGTTTTCACTGAGAGAAATTCGAAATACTCTGAGAGTCTCAACATCGGGAAAAACCTTCGTGTTTCGAAAAAGTTGAATATTTTTTCTCCTTTATATTTTCAAGCTTCTAAACGTTCTTTTTCGGATTCGGCATTGAAAACTGAATTAGGAAATGTGCTTTGAAAGTTTTCCATATGTAACTTGATTCTAGGAAATATTCGTTTACAAGCATAGCTCCAAAGCGAAGGACTCACCGCCATCAACTTCTCTTTAGATGTTTAGATGCATTAACATGTTCAACTAAAAGAACAATGTCAATAGAAATAGAGTCAAAATAAAGTGCAGACAATATGAGAACAACCGTGCATTGCGAAGAATATCTTGATACCATTGAGAACACACGTCCAAGTGTCTTCGTTTGGTTAGTGACCCTTGTCGTTGCCGGTGTCGATGGATTTTTATTTGGTTATGATACTGGTGTCATTAACGGAGTCTTGGTTACGATCAATAATGATCTTGGCTTTGAACTCGGAGATTCAAATAAACAATTACTCACCTCAATTATTTCAGCTGGTGCATTAATTTCTGCATGCGTGGCTGGATATGTAGCTGATCGGTGGGGTAGAAAAGCAGTCCTGTGGTACTCAACAATTGTATTCACTATTGGATCATTACTGCAAGCTGTTTCATGGCATTTTGCTCAAATGGTCGTTGGTAGATTCATCGTAGGTATTGGTGTTGGCGCAGCTGCCATGGTAGTACCACTGTACATTGCCGAACTGGCGCCCACTCGATTTCGGGGTCGTCTAGTCGTTATTGACGTGCTGTGTATCACTGGAGGCCAACTTATTGCATATGGTATAGATGCAGCCTTTGCCAATGTAAAATATGGATGGCGTTTCATGGTCGGTCTCGGTGGTGTGCCTTCGTTCTGTTTATTCTTTATACTTCCTATTCTTCCAGAAACTCCTCGTCATCTAGTTCGATGTGGAAGGATCGATGAAGCAAAGAAAGTTATTCGGCGGACATTCCCTAACGGTAATGAAGATATGATACAGAGGAAAATAAATATTTTAGTAGCAGTCAATACGCTTGCTGCTGAATTTAGAAAATCATTGAAGTCGACGTTAGTCGAAATGTACTGCAAAGGTGAAAACCTTCGTGCTCTGATCGTGGCATGTGGAATCATGGCTACTCAACAATTCAGCGGTTTTAACACATTGATGTACTACTCGTCTACGATCTTTAAAAGTATTGGATGGTCATCCCCTATCGGAGTTGGTACAACTATTGCAGCAACCAACTTTTTGTTCACTTGCGTCTCACTGAAGTACATTGACATTGTCGGTCGTCGAAGAATGCTCATTTACACGATGTGGGGTATGACAGTTGGTCTTATCGGTGCAGCTATCGGATTTCACTACATTCCCAAAGATTCCTTGGGAAACATCATCGTCACTTTTGGAGCTCCATCTACAGGTGCAATTATCGTTCTCGTTTGCATGCTCTTCTTCGTTGCCTCCTATGCTACCGGTCTCGGAAACGTTCCATGGCAGAACAATGAATTGTTTCCACTTAGTGTTCGTGCGTTGGGTACTACTATGATGACGGCATGTAATTGGGGACCAAATTTGATTGTATCTAGTACTTTTCTCAGTTTAATGAACGCAATTACTCCGTCTGGTGCATTCGGATTATACGCAGGGATTTGTTTCGTCGGATGGATTGCTGCCATATTATTCTTTCCTGAAGTATCGGGTATGCCATTGGAAGATATCCAGCAAGTGTTCAAGCACGGCTTTGGAGTACGTTATGCTGAGAAATTGCGTAAAGAACGAAAAGTTATTGACAGAAAAAATGCACAAAATATGCAACCTCCTGTGACATACATCAGTCAGATACAGGATACAGGATTACGGCGTTCAACATTAACATAGCAACGACTGAATTTCATGTTTCTTGTACAACTGGTGTTTTAACACTGATTTGTTTGACTTATAACTTGTGTTCTTGTTAACTGATTTTGAAAACTGTTTGTTTTATTTTACTCTGTTCTGTCTTTCGTATAGCCACACAAAATCTCATCTTTCTAGCTCATCAGCCTACTGACATATAGTACTTTTGAAACAAGCTGCTGTTTGACCTTCGAAAAAAGTTTCTTTGGTTATTGTACTGTAGATTATCTCTGGTTTCCAAGCTATCGGACTCAATGTGTCGCTCTGTGAGTGCTGTCCGATTCGTAAAGTCGTAACGACTTTAGTATGCATTACGACTTTATAGACGCGCCATACGAGTCTCCGACGTTATTTAGATTCTATATATATATCCTATCTATGACTTTACGACCTCATATATATATTCTATCTACGACTTTATGACTTTACAACCTCATATATATTCTATCTATGACTTTATGACTTTACGACTTTATATATATATATATCCTATATAAGCGAAGTTAAAATGAAGAAATCCGTCTTGGATGTTCTTGCTTAAATCATTGTTTAACCTTCGATAAAGGAAAAGAAAACTACTACTGACTTACTGAAAACTGTCTACTGACTTCGCCAGAATGAAGATGCTGACTTGTATGAAAACCGCATTCATTTATTGTTGAACTTGATCCTTTTTCTCTTACTTTGAAATTTAATTTAAAAGAAGCATTTGTTCACTTTGCACTTTGTAAGAGCGTAACAGAGACCTCATCTCACTTCTACATGTTAAATAATATTAAATAAATACATGTAGACCTTACACATTATATAACTGTACTCGATACATGTGAGTTTAGTTTTTACTAATAGTTTCCAAAAGTATTATCTGTATTCGTATTAAACTCATCATAACACAAAAAAAGATGTATTCATAAGATATTTTTTTATGCGATTATTTTAATTTTAACTGCAGTATTTTGACAAATGGAAAGCCCTCAGGAGATTTTTGAAAAATATGTACTGTTCAGTGAGCGTATTGAATAAAAATTTTAATTATCTCAGAAAAGTTTTGTTCCAGTGCTACCTCAGGTAACAATAATGCCATGACATGCTTATTAAATCAAGTGAAAACAAATAACTGATTCTCTTTTAATGTAAGATAAAGAAAACTTCCATCTCGATTTATTGTAAATGGCTGACTTTTCGCCGCAAAGTTTCTTGACCTTTAGCTGAAACTCAACTGGAAAATTTTTTTTGATACAGATGCCTTGGTATGCTCTACCCGACAGACAGGTCAAAATCTCTCTGCCTTGGGTTTTGAGATGGATCCCCTATAGACGGATTTTCCGAGAGCCACTTCGGAATGCCATATGGATACTATTGGATGTTAGATTCGTGATAAGCGTCGAAAATTACCTGGATTCATGGGAAAAGTGAGTAAACAGTAAGCGTCCTTCCCTCATAAGATAGAACAGAAGTTAAGTAGTAAAGGATGATCCATAAGTTTTGGGTCCTCTGGAAAAAAATAATTTTTCTTTCTTATTGTCAACCGAAAAAAGCGCAAACTTTAACATTTAATCTCTTAAACCCCCGTCCACATTAGAAGCCCAGTGGGCTTCTATTATGTCCCGGAAGAAAGGGGCAAAATTTTCTCAAAAAGTACCCTATGTGGGTAGGCGCAATTTTCAAAAAATTTCTTGTCAGACTGGGCTTCTAATGCGGGTGGCCTTCTAATGTGTTTACAAAGAAAACTTATGGATCACCCTTATCTACTAGAAAACATACTACTATCGTTTCACAATTAATCGAATCTGAATTATAGAAAAACTTGAACCAAGAACGACATTTGAATAGTTCAAATTAGGCTCTCGCACAAATTTGTCCTTCAGTTAATGATGACAAGACAGACACTCATAGTTCTACCATGTGCTTCAGCTAGTCCAATAAAACTACTAGTATATTATTCAGATAAAGACTCGTCTTTTTTCTTATCGGCCAGCCAGAAAGAAATGGAACGATACGTTCAATTTTATGATGGTCGAGTTCATCTAAAAGGATATGAAAAGATCTTCAGTTGTTTCAGTTAAGGATAACCACTTTCTTATTATTCTTCTTGCACGTTCATCAACGATAGATTCGTTTGACTATTCATAGTGTTGATTACTAGCGTATTCGTATGAGTTGTATGTTCTGTTTATGGTGTGCCTGTTAAGTGTTTCCAGAATTCTGAAAGTAGAAAACAAACAGGTATGAGCCAAAGGAAACGATGAAACGTAAACGCCTTGCACAATTTTTGTTCAAGATCAACTGCATTTGGATGTGTACGATTCACAGTGGGCATTTTTTGCTAGAGCAGGCGGACTTTAGCTTTATAAGTGAACGAAAATTTCATGAACCATTTTTCTATAGGTTTTTCATGATCATCTTTCTAATGGTATGAGAGTTGGGTTTTGAAAAAGTTTTCTAAGGAGTTTTCCAGAGATCCGGTCTCTAGAAAACCCTTCAGGAAACTTTCTCAATATTTAAAAACGATGCCACTGGAAAGAGCATTGTCAAAAACCTATAAGAAACATGTTTCGAGTCGTTCAGGTTACTTTATCTTGAAATTCAAATTTTCAGCACGAAATTTTTTGTGTGAATCTCAAAAACTAAGAAATTTCTAGAATTCAAAATCGAGCTACTGAAACTAGATGAATTATACACCATTCGCTGCAGTTTTTCACGCTGATTCTGAATATGGTATTATATTTGAAGGGAAGTGCATTTATAAGCGAAAAAAACATGAAATACCCCGAAAACTGTATGGGTTTTAGAAAATTGATAATTCGACTTAGATAAAAGGTCGCATGCACTGTAGATAGAGTGGGTGTTCGAAAACATATTGATATATTTTATTATTATTTTCGAGGTCAGGAAAATCGTGGAAGTCGACTATATTGTGGTCGTGTCAGTTCGAATGAAACTGGGTATACTCCATTACCGGTTCTTTAGTGAATTCGATATGGAAATGTAGACATTTTTATATCAATAGATAGGTGAGGGCATGCTGATTCCGAATATATCCTTTCCAATCGTTGAAAGCAGCTGTGTGAAGAAAAAAGTACATTTTTGTGCAGACATGTCATGGTTTTCGATATTCGTATTGCAGTTTTCGTGTCCTTCTTTAGCCACTTAGGAGTGAACATCAAAATAGACATTCATACACCATTCGATAGAGAATTCAAAGGGCTACATTTTACACTGTTTATATTTGGAAAAAGAACAAATCGACTTTTTCGCCTAATGTCCGCTTGGATGCCCACTGTGCGATTTAGGCATACAACGATAACGATAATTTATCGGTTTGATCGTACCTTACCGATTATCGCTTCTTACCGATAAACCGATAAAATTTCTGACGCTTGCTAAGCAAAATCAGAATAGAGAAAGTGAGTTTGTAGCTAAGATAAACTCATGCTCTTCGCTAACATTCTATCTCCACCCTTTCTTTTTTTTTTCTTTTCTCCTTTGCATCAGAGAACTAGCAAATAAGAAGATATCTCTTCTCGCCTATGTACGGTGTATATTTAAAAGATATCTTTCTTTTCGATTCTTGGCAAATGTCTACTGTATACATTGCGACTTTCTTTATTCTAATTTTACTTAGCAACCGTCACAAATTTTATCGGTTTCATCGGTAAGAAGCGATAATCGTTATCGCTGCATGCATATCAAAATTTGATGTTTTTTTTTCTAGAGAAGCAGTCTTTGAGATTTTTACATATTCGGAATCAGCGCGACGAGTTACGTTATACGACGTAAAAATCTCGTCTGCGTCCCGACACCTTTCCGCACTATGAGTTTTCACGGTATATTACACTATATTCAACCGTAGACACCAACGATGCCGCTTTTCCCCGTTCTCTTTTGTTTCGTTTTTCTTTTCTTTGATGTTTTTCTCATTCTACCCGCACTATATGGTTTGGAAAATTTTCTCACCAAAAGCCAGAGACTTGGTTTTCTTGCCTTCAGGTTTTCCAGAAACCCCGGTATCAAGTTTTCGCATCAAATGCCGGTATGCACCTTAAAATTCTAAAAAATAATTTTCTTTTTCGTAAGAATATTGTTGTTTCATTGGCAACTTTCTATCTTCAAATGACTGAATTTGTGAAGATTCTCGAAGTGGTAAAAATGTTACGGATTTTTGTTGTTCTTGTTCAGAACATGGCCTATTTAGTGGAAGTAATAATATACTATTATAGTAGAACTTGTTACGAATTCAATTTCATGAAACAGTGCGGATGGTGTTGGCTGACGATGTGCCTGTGAATAGTGAGTTTTGGAAAATTGATGTTATCCGATGAAGACGCTTTTTGTATCTGACTTCGTCGAGGATTTATAGCAATTTTGTACATATCTAAATTCAGACGAAGCAAATCACGTTCACCCGCACGTTCATCATTTCGTAAATGCTGTAATTCTAATCTAGAAAAGGTGACTTTAATATCTAGTACACAATACAAGTTTGCTTTAGTTGTAACTGGTTGGTTACACTTAACGAGTAGGACTACAATACTCCACATTTTAGGATAGCAAGACATACTTGAAGTTTTTAATCAACAGAAAATTGTCCTTATGTTTAAGGTAGTGAGAGGACTAACACCTAGCTTTTTACCAAACAAAATTTCTCTTCTACATCATAGTCATAATCATTAGACTAGAACTCAAGCAGAAATGAAAATGATGATTCAGGGTAACTGGAAAACAGAGAGGCGTTTTATGAGTAAAACATTTGAAATGTCTTTTTTTCCGGATGCAATCAAAAAATGGAACGAATTAAACGATGCGGTGCGAGCATGTAAGACTTTAAGTATCTTTAAAACAAAACTTAATCCACAAATAGACGTACTAAGGGTCTTTCGAGTTTACGGTGTTAAGCGTGAAATAGATAAACTATACTACCAAATGCGATGCAACTTCTCGTCATTAAATAATGATCTTTATGTCAAAGGATTAGTGCCTGA